GATTAATCATAGGTAGGAATAATATTAATGCTACAGAGGATTAATAGGAATCCTCTGTAGCATCAATATTATCAGCTTAATATCAATATTAATCAGATTAATATTAATCTAAGATTAATATTAATCGTAATTGATTAAGGCACGGCTCAAACCTCAGTAAAGGATTATAATAATCTATTACTTAGCTCTTATTAACCGAGCAGGAGGTCTGTATGGGAGAATGAGCTTAATGAGCTTAACTTAAACCTGCCGAAATTTGCTCGTCCTCTTTACCTTTTTTTTTTGTCATCAGGCTTTTTGGCACTTCCCTTTTAATAATCATTAGGATTAATATTAATTCGATTAATATTAATCTGAGTTGTCCTGTCAAAAGCAGGTTTAATGTAATCATTAAGGGAGTTTCCTGGTGGACGACTGCAGTCAGTAATAAGGCGGGATTTTCCGAAATCTTTTTTAGGGACACGACCGATGGCATGAGAGAGATTCGCCCGAGATTAAGTTCCTTAGCAAATAACTCGTGCAGTTCAGGTTTGAACTCGTCGCAGCTGGTAGCAGTAGTATGATTCACCGAGTCATAGCCAGCAATGCCTGAAACATCCGGCTTTTTCATTAGCTTGAAACCATTTTGCAGACCATCGAGAATCTTTGTTGGAATCAAAAGAGAGTTCTCTTTGCCAAGCGTTGAAATTCAGGGGACATTCCTCAGGCGGAGTGAAAATAGAAGCATCGAAGGAGGGCGCAAACGGGGCATAATAAGAGCGAAACCTTCATTTCTTGTTGTTATTGGGATTAGTATCAGTGGGAGCCCCAGTGCAGGCTTTGCTTTTGTGAGAGGACTGTGAACAATGGATGCAAACACGCTTATACGAGCACGACTGAGGATTAGGGCAACCACCAGGACTAAAGTTCCAGCGAAAGCAAAACTCAGGTACTAGACGTTCTGTAGTGCTAGTCGTGCTGGCGGGGGCTTAAGTGCCACAGCAGCGTCGAAGTATTGCGCTCTCAAATCGTCCACATTTGCGCCCCAGGAAAACTTCTCGCGCAGTTTAGTGGCACGATAATCTTGGTCAAAAGCAAGAATTGCCCGAGTCTGAAAACGGGTGCCTTTCACTTGATCCCTCTTGCCTTCTTTGTGGATCTCTTACTTTTAGCGGGCATGGTGAAAGGTGGAAAAAGTCACCATCTGTCTTCTCATTGGCTAAAAGCTTAGAGGTAATTCTGGGAAAAACTGCGACCTACAGATTATTCACTAATCTGCTAGCAGATTAGTGAATAACCCGTAAGTTGTGCGCGCAATGCATGATTTCCAAGAGCAATGTCAAGTTCACGTAAGAACATGGCTTGTCGAAAATAAACTGTTTTCCGTGTGATAATATGTTTGTCGTTATTTTCTTTAAAACAATGTATAATAAAACAATTATGAGATTCGGTTTTTGTGATATCCGAAATAAGGTCTCGGTTACTGTTATCAGGCTCAACACTTTCTTCGACCTGGATTATTCCGGATATCACAAAAACCTCATCCAATAATTGTTTCTAATAATTAAATTGTACATATAAACTTACCATATTTGTAGAGCATGGTGGAATTACTGAATGATATACTAGTATTACCGCTAACAAGCCAATGAAAACTCAAATTGTATTATGCAATGATCCAGTTTTAAATGAAACTGATTGTATATATGACTTAACAAATTTAAACAAGACAAATCCATACATAACATTAATGTATGGTCAACAATATTAATTTAAAAAAATAGCAAAGAAATCATTGTCTAAATCTCCAAATATAATAAGCTTACTTTTCGAACAATGTGATTATGATTTCTAAGTACAGTAAACAAATGCAAATCAACTCTAATATGGTAATATATTTCACTTTTGAATATCTAATTTGGACAAAGAGAAAACGTCACAGTTCATATTCAAACTGAGGCGAAGAAGGGTACTTACCCAAAAGGGTAAAAATATATTCCGCAAATCGACGGCTTTACAGTCAACTGATCATTGAATGACCTCTTCCATGATTTACATTTGTAAACAAGTAATTCCACTAATTCAATCCAAATGTAAAGCGATGAAATATATTACCCTCTTGTTTCCGAAAGTCTTGAGAAGGTGTCTGTGATTTATATTGTTTTCAAACTCAAGCGGTACTGTCTTTGAATTTGTGGTCACCGATGGAGACATTTTAAAGTTCTGACGGTTCAAAGCACTGAATATTGTCTTTTAAAAGTATACAATGGCTCCTGTAGAACCTGCACTGGACACATGTCAAGTCTGTCCTAGCTTTCGCGAGGAACTTTACTCCCGTTGACAGACTCGAGTTTTCGACTTGCATGAACACCTGAAAGCGAAACAACAATTGCAAATGGGTTTCGTTATTTGTATTTAATTACGAAGCTAGACTTTTGACACGTAAAAGAAATGATATCGATAACATGCAGAACTCAAGACCAAGCTCAAAATGAAAAACGACTTACCTTTAAAACTAAAAGCAGGGGAAACTAGAGACCACACTTCCAACCGAAATGGCTGATTCAGACTAGTACACCGTACGATACAAGACCACGTGACAGACGCTGACCCTCGTGGACAAATAAATAAATCCGATCATGCTATAATGTGGCTACACTCTTCGTGTAAGCCCCACAAGAACTAAGCCAGAACGCTCTCTCAAAAGAACTGCTGAGCTATCATATGATCAAGCATTACTGTCCATGAGCGCGTTAATGATTAACCTACTTCACAAATTATACCGCTATTGGTCAAATTCGATACCGTACATTTAAAAACGGTCAGGGTAATAATAACTCAGTCTAAAACGGGGTTATTTAATCACCCGAGGCCCTATAATAGAAATTGAAACTCCGCTTGGAAGTGACTCTGTAAGACATTGGTTTAGTTAGCATGTGTTGGACTACGATAGTGACAGCTTCTGCACTGAAACTAGCTAGTCTGGGGATAGGATAGGGGTTTTAGTGTCTAGTGTAAGATAGGGTAGATAAGATAGGTTGTTCATGGTCAAGTATAGCGTAAAGGCTTCAGTGACCCAGCGGTACACCCCTACACAAAGATTTAAGCGAGATATAACAGTAATTAATGACACATCTTTTATTCTATGCTATACCCATTTCCAGACTTGACTGCGAAAAGCCGCTCTATTTCAGACTAAAATTTTTAATTAAATGTTTAAAAACGGTAATAACGTGCGAGGATTGCATGTTGTTGTGTCGGAACGAAGTACGGTTTCGCTTTTACTCACGTCGTTCTGCAAGCTGTTGTTTAAGGCCATCAATTCGCCACCACTGCAATTAGTTCTAACTGATAATGTCAAGGTAACTATTAAACCTGAATTAGGAAAGAAAACATCATAATTACACAAAAATCAAAACAACAATATTATTTCAATCAGACAAAGCTCTTGCCCTTGCAGGATTGATTGGTTTGTCTAATTTGCTTATTCAATAAAAATTTAACCTCACACTTGTTTTTACCATGTAGCTAGTGCAGTGTAACAGTGAATTGGAAGAGACGGAAGCAGCGGCCTGGCTTGCAAACTGCTTTCTCTAATCTTTGTTCTAAGGTTTGTTTTAATAAGAAATTTCTATCCTTTAAACCTTATCTGTGCTCCGTTTATGAAACGAGGACGCTTGCATGCTTGAAGGCGAAAGAAAAGAGGGCAGGGAGGTCAGTGCCTGCGGTTATCATGCAGCTTTAAAGCATTAGTGATCACAATTTCAGGCTTATCCTAAAATATTTTTGTCATCAGTCTGTTGTCCCAATTGTTTGCTCTTTTGATTGAACATTTCTGCGGTAACCATATTTCAATACGGTCTTTTACCGAAAATTGGAATCATTAGGTATCGATTTAAAACAAGAGGCGTGTTTTCTCTTTTGGTTACAACACTGCTGCTAAACGAACCCTGCATGTTGCTTTTTGGGTTACAACACTGTACTAAACGAGCCTCGAATGTTTTTTTTTTTGGTTACAACACTCAGTGCTACTGTAGCAAATAGCGTAGAAATTTGCCAACGTTTGAGTTTTCCTGCTTGTCTTTGTCATGGAGATATGGATGGCCCTACATTGCATCTAATCAGTCCAATGATTGGGGCAATTCCACCGGCTTAATTCGTGTCGAGTAAGAGAAGACTGGTGACAAAATGACTGAAATTGTTTTCACTTTTTCAATAGCCCCGAAGAACCAAATTACAAATGTGAACAAACGAGTACCGAATATTGGGTTATTTCATTCAAGAAATCGGCTGGAATCGAACTACGAACACATCGATTGAAGAAATTAAGGTGTCTGCAAAAGTATGCTCGGCCTTAACTGTATCGAGACTCTTTCTTCGATGTGTTTGTAGATCGATTTCAGCCCATTCCTTGACTAAATTAATCAAATATTTGGTACTCCTTTCTTTACATTTTTAATTTGGTTCTCCAAGGGCTATGATGGGAGTTTCTCTAATCAAACCTTGCATGTTTTTTTTTTTTTTTTTTATTCAAAACACTGCCACTAAATGAATCTTGCATGTTTTTTTGGGTACAACACTGTACTAAACGAGCCCTTTTTTTGGTTACAACACTCAGTGCTACCATACTAACTATGGTGCCACTAAGCAAATCTTGCATCATCATAGTATTGTTTCTGGTTTCATCACTGCTACTAAACGAATCTTGCAGGTATTGTTTGTTTACCACACTGCTATTAAATGAGTCTTACCCGTTGTTGAGGCTACAACAATGCTACTTGGAGTGGCTGCATTCATCTGGGTCATCGTAGTGCTTGATGATACATCTAAAGTTAGGGATAGATTACGTGTAAGATGCAAATGTTTCGTGCAAATGAAACCTTCACCCCTGCATTCGAAGTTTACATTGGATTGATTTAAGAGAAATAATTCTTGTTGTACACTTGTCGTGAGCTCCTCGCTGATTTATATCGTCCACATCGGCCCTGATTATGATTTACTTACAGTGTACAGCACTAAAAGAAACCGTCTTGTCCATTATCAATAACAACTAAAACTTTGCAGCTTTTTCCCAAACCGCGCTGCAGACGACGAGCGTCGTAACGTGACGATTATGCAGAGTATACATACTCGAGGCGCAGCGGAGTGGATCTACAAACTACAGTAAAAATCCTCGTGTAAGAATCTACACTGAATATTTTTGAAGTCTGGCAAAATAGGTTCTTGTATTTTGAGGTAGTTATTGGCAATTTAGGCTGAGTAGGTTTTTCATTAGGTTCTTAATTTCTACGAAGGAGATAGAGCTGTTGAAAAATAAATAAACCTGGGTTTGGTTCTTGAATATACAGTATTTACTAACAGCTGTATNTCTCTATTACAGCAGAATTCAGTTTTGAAATTCTAAACTGAACTACATTAAGAAGAATTAGATAAGATCAGTCAAGGAAACAGTACATACCATTCTTTCCAGATCCAGAATTGACGTGTGCCATCGCTTTGGGGAAGAACAATTTTATTTTATTTTAGCAATAGACCACTGTTTCTATGGGTTTACCGGTGCAATAAACCACTTGGGATGTTGGGAGAACCCTCGAAATGTTTGTAAATCACTAGGCGTTAGGAGAGTGATTTACAAACTTCACGAGTGTTCCATCCTCCATCCATCGATCCATCTTCTGTCTGTCTGTCTGTCTGTCTGTCGGTCGGTCGGTCGGTCGGTCGGTCGGTCGGTCGGTCGATCGATCGATCGATCGATCGGTCGGTCGTTCAGGAGTGGATCATCGATCAAAACATTAAAAGACCCATTACATAGCGAAGTATATATCAACTAGGTAAAACTGTTAATACACTTCCGTTGTTGTTATGTCAAGAGTTGCTGAAGAACTCTGCCTGGAATAATTCGTGAAGAGGGGTCCCAGCCAGGTGTAAAGTCAAAAACAGATAACAGGATAGCACGTACCATGAAACCACAGGATTCAACGTTAGCGAAGAGAGTTAGGTAATACAAAACAATGCCATGTTTTTAATTGCACTAGTAAAGGCAATAAAAGAGGGCTTACATGTATATGGAAGATTCTACGATATATCACTTTCTTTTTACCTCAGAATTTAAATTTCTCAACCACTTGGCCGTGGTTTACGAGAACTTCTACCAGAAGTTTCAATCATGCAGTAGTTAGGTAAGTCTCTTTTAAACCAAAGCAATCGTCTAAGCGACAACAATTAAAGAATTGTTCTTTTTGAATGCAATTTTTTTTGCCTCGAAATAGTCTAGACGGTCTGAGATTTGATGCATGCAACAATCTTATAAAGTTATGGCAAGAAATTTTTCGTGAAAATGAGACCTCCATCCTTGCATTCGAAGTTTATATGGGATTGATTTAAGAGAAATAATTCTTGTTGTACACTCGTCGTGAGCTTCTCGCAAATTTATATCGTCCACATGGGCCCTGATTCTGATTTACTTACAGTGTACAACACTAAAAGAAACCGTCTTGTCCATTATCAATAGCAACTAAAACTTTACAGCTTTTTTTCCCAAACCGTGCTGCAGTCGACGAGCGTCGTAACGTGACGATTATGCAGAGTATACATACTAGAGGCGTAGCGGAGTGGATCTACAACTACAGTCAAAATCCACGTGTAAGAACCTACAATATTTTTGAAGTCTGGCAAAATAGGTTCTTGTATTTTGAGGTAGTTATTGGTAATTTAGGCTGAGTAGGTTTTTCATTAGGTTCTTAATTTCTACGAAGGAGATAGAGTTGTTGAAAAATAAATAAACCTGGGTTTGGTTCTTGAATATACAGTATTTACTAACAGCTGTATATTTCCTTTTAATATAAATTTGCCATCTCAAAGTCACACTCCTTAGTTTAAATGTTTATCATAAGTCAACTGTAACTCACACATAAGAAACTACTTCATCCTGCTTGGCTAAACAGGCTCTTACATTTTTGTG